AAACTAAGTATACGTATAACTAATATATATATATATATATATATATATATATATATATATATGAAATAATGGCAATAATACAACTCGTTGTTTTACCTTACTTTGATATCGTCCATAGATTTGGATCATTTTTAATATCCAATAAAGACTATAATCTATCGCTATGAAGGTGATAAGTTTCATCGTCGCCATGCTTAAAAATATTAAAGATCTAGCTAATTTAACCCTTTCGGGTTTGATCAACTTAGCAGATGTTAATGATGCATATCTTTTCTGTTCTCGCGGATTGAGCGGCAAAACTGTCTCTTTGTCTTGTCGCGCTCTTATCAAATCGATAGTACGTATATCATTGGTTATGTATCGATTATCGTAACGCTCGCTAGTTAACCATTTGTAACGATAATGCAACACTCTGGAAATACGAGCATGGAATACATGTTTACGATTACCATAATATTCTTCTACGGATAGAACGATTATATTGTCATACTTGAGTATTACGAAGAACAAGAAGAAGGTCGTGGCGAAACTCAGGACATCGAAAATTGCAAAGATTTTGTCGGTTCTCGATCGTATTTCGTTACCAATATTCGTGGTCACTTCCTTGATCGTTTTGGTTTGATTCGTTTCGAAATGAAACGAATGGGAGAACTTAACTTTAACGTAGAACATCGCTTTCATGTGCATTGTAAACTTTTTAATCTCTACGAACATAACAATCGATTGAATCGATCTACGAAACGATCGATCAAATTTTATTCGAAGACTACTTACTGTTTCGTACGACACCGACTACAGCGTCGGAGATATAAGAGACAAGCATGCAAATAAAGTCCAATGGTTTCACTATGTAGCACAGAGTACTGACTATATAAGTTATATTGCAAACCAAGCCTAGATACGGTCCTAATTTTGCTTTGCAATCTGCCACTGCACCTTCAAAAACGTTTTGACACCTCTCGAAAGGTGTGCCCAACTTTTTATTACACATATTTATGATACTTCCAAGCCATTGGAATACCGAACTGATAACTCTAACTAAAAGGAGAGATAAAAACTCTAAGAAAAATTTTTGCAAATAATTGATATAAAATAATTGTGCATATCGTACGCTGAATTCAATACTTACGAATACTGAGAACGATCCTTTTAATCGCAATTAAAGTTTGCTTTATCTTTTTTACGACTACTTTCACTGACTTTACAACTTTCGATATTGCATCTCGTAGAGCGTAAAATGGCTGCTTCGCTAAATCCACCACGGTCTTTACCGCTTCTTTTAACTGTTCCTAAAACACAAACGAGCTTCTCGCGATCGATTATACATACATACGATCGATTGCGAATCAAGGATTAAATGGTGCAACGTAGTATATATTGGCATACTTGCGCGCAAGACAATGATTCTGAGAGTATACCCATGTTGTGCAAAGTATTTTTCACCGGTCCAGTTAAAGCTAAAATAAACGCGTACGCCATTAATGCTTGCTTCCCCCGTCTTGAGAACAATTGCGGCAATAATAGAAATACAACGCATCTGAAATATCGTTAAAGGATAAGTTGATGTTTCGAATGAATTCAAATTGAGAAAATTAGGTATACACGTACCGAACTCGAAGAGAAAATGCTAGACCAAGGGTGAGAATCGTTCCTATTATCGTACAAAGGAATGTTGCGGACGACAGTTTAAAATGCAATTGAAAAACGAAAAATATGAAAAAGATATACGTTAAGAATATTCCACCAAAAAATCCAACAAAACTTTTTGCTATATAGTTCTCCAATGTACCATCGGTACGTATTGCAATTATTTTTTTATACGTCCAAGAATCTTCTCGAAAAAGAAAAGTAAGGATTTTTTTACCCAGCAGTTTAAACCTCTTTCTAATCCTGTTTCGATTTTCCAAAAATAATTACGATAGATATGAAATAAAAATTATTATCATATATAAGGTCTAACCATAATTTTCTTCGGCGAATTCGCTGTTTTATTGTAAATCGATGCTCGCCACTTTTCCAAATATCGATCGACGTCAATTTTTCATCTTCGTAAGCTTTCCTTACTTTTTCTAATTGATTAGCATGCAATACCAATTGGAAAAATGCCATAATGAAATTGTATTTGATAAATCACGCTATAATCGAAATTATTTTTTCGACAATGTCGATTAAATTTATGGTTAATGATTGATATTTATCGTTTATGAAAGTATAATTTTATTTTCTTTCTTTTTTTTATTTTCGTATCGGATAAAATAATACTATATATATATATATATCTTCAATTTTACCGATCAACATTCATTTCAGATTATTGTATTTTTATCATATTTATATCGACAAAATCTTAATTAAATGTCTAAAAAAATTTATTTGTTATGCCCTCTATGTTTTAATTACGGTAAGAAATTAAGAATCGTATGCAATCTGGCTATTATAGAAATTATCCTTTACCCTAGTCTTTGTTAATTTAATTTTATTATAATTAAATCAACAAAAAAACAAAAAACAAAAATTTTCCAATTATTATTATTTACTCGTGTTTAAAAAAGAAAAAAACCGTACGCAATGCGAAAATATTTTTTAGAATTTAATGTGTCGAGAAAACGGTTTTTCTATATTATAAAACATCGAATATTGTTTATGGTCGTATCGGTGGTTTTAACAAAATTTGGAATAACGTGCGTATTTCAATGTAACGCGTAAATTAAAGTGGAAAGCGTGCCGCGTGGCGCAATGTCATTCGGTTATCGAACTTTGTCGCGGCGAGACGTATCACCTTTATTGTGGCGCGTAACCTCAATTGCGTGTTTTTTAATATTTTTATCAGTACTCTATTACAGTTTATACACTTCTATTAATTTTTTTTCGTTAATACGCTTTCATTTAATTACTTTCATGTTGTTACAATTTTTTACATTAAATATTATTAAAAATTCTCTTTGTTTTTTTCTTTCTATTTTCGTTTATTGATTGTTATTGAGGTTACTTATAGGTCGTATTAACAAGGTTTCGAGATAGAAGTTTGAGTTCAATTCTTGTTACATTTCGATATAATTTTGATTTTAATTTTCGATATCATTATATTATATTTATTATACTTATTTTAATTAAATCTTATCTTTGATTTTTACAGATTATTCGTTTATCATTGAACGCAAGAATGATTTCGCAACAATAGAGATTCGTGGGTACATGATGATTCAATTTACTTTTTCATGCTGATGTGGTAACATTTTTTTATTTAATATTAATAGTAATTCATAATATAATATATATCCAAAAAAACAATAATTTTATGTAATTTATTGAAAATACTGAGATGAAAAAATTAAAAAATTATCCGTATATATAATTGATATCATTTTTAAATTTTTTTGAATTTAGATTCTAACTTTTTATTTTATTGTATTTTAATAACAAATTCTTTATTATAATAATTTTTATTATTTTCAAATAATTTCTAAATGATTTTTCAGTCATATTTCGAATATCAAATGTAATTTTTGTATTACATTGTGTTTATTATTTTATTTTTTTAATTCCAATCAATTGTTAATTATCGCGTAAGCAAATTTTCTCAAATATTTATAAATCGTGATAAACGTTTGATTGTGATAACGAACATTTATAGTATAATTCTTGAAAATTTATTGCATTACATTAAATAATAAATATTTTGCAATATAAATAAATACATCTCAATTCACAAATAATATTTTAAATACATACAATTCATTTTTTAAATAATAATTATAACATTCCTTTATCAATGAAAAATGAACAATAATTAGAATTTTTAGGCAAACAATATTTTTTTCTAATTAATAATTCAAGGAAAAAGAAAATATAAAAAAAACATATTTTGTTTCTTTTTCTTATTCCATTTCTCCCTGGTATAATGATCTTTAAATTTCAGAGAATATTTGTGATCGCGCGCAATGCGATCGTTAGAGCCAGTGTTTATTGCGTAATAGTATTTTTAATATTTTTTAGAGCACAATAGCTCTAACATTAAATTTGATTATAACGATTAAACGCGAAAGTAGAGTCAGTGTTTGTTCGCCGATTATGCAACATGAACGGACGCGATAATAATATTTTTATTTTTCTTTATTTTTCTTCTTCTTGCAAATATTCGTTTTCGGTACAAGGTAGAGTCAGTGTCAACAGTATAAGGCGATCATCCATCACGCGAAGAGGTAATTAGCTTTGTATAATTTTTCTACTTTATTTTATTCTTCGTATTTCGCTTTAATTATTAATTATTAAGGAGTAAATGAAATCGATATTAAATTATAGATAAAATTTAAATTTCGTTTTCACGCTTCGTTACAGAGTTCTTCCAACCTTGACATCCTCCCACGAGTTCCCCTTCGGTCCAAAGCAGCATACGTCGCATCTAATGGTGAGTCGCATGCATTTATGTTCCTCTGGTCACTCAATCATGTCGTAGGATGAAAGGTCCAAATCGACACGGGTGATTGGTTGTATACGTAGATTTTTGCACGAGCACAGTGAACACGGGTATTTATTATACTCGTGAATAGTAACATATCTTTTTCTGTGTTTTATTTATTAGTTCAGGATAGGGTCTTCTTGCACTTCTTCGTGTTTTTACATATGATATGTTATGATTAATTTTTTTATTAATAACAACAATAATATTTATTAAGAATAATGTAATGTCGATAATTAATTAATTATTGAATTATCATGAATTGAAATTATGTATATGTTTACTAAAGTTATTTATAAAATCAAAATATGTTCAATATGGATATTTGCAATATTCATAAATAAATGCACGTCTTTAAATAAAATGAAGATAATTTCGATTAAGTGTTTCGTAGCAGAGAAATCGGATACCCTCCGACTTCGTTGCTGTAAAAATTAGAATTTATAAAACAATGATAATAATACGATACGTTTAATCTACGATTATAATTATAAGTAAACGTGTTATATTGGTAGTATAACTTGAGATATGAAAATATTAAAATTTAATTCGTTTCGTGAGAGATTTATTCAATTTCATGTGCAAGAAGGACGCTTCGCGACAGGTAGATTTCAGAATCAGAGCAACAAGTTTTTTTGAACATTGCTTTGATAATTTCGAAAATTTGCATTGATGAAGAAATCGCCTGAGGGTTTTCTATTAATATTTGACTTATTTGTTAAATTCAATCATTTCAATTCCTTTAATCTTTTGATATTAAATTTTTCAATAATTTATCAAATAAAATGGTATTATAAAATTTGAATAATTAAAATTTGTGATAAAATAATATCCAATATACAAAGAATTTTAATCCGTTAGATAAAAAAACAATACTAATATATTTTTTTAGCTCAGGATTTTCAGATTTAACCCTTTCCATATCTATTGCCAGGATCTCATTCACGTGCCCAGGTGCTACTTGGATGAGAGAAAGGCGATGGGTATGATGACCATAGCTCATAAGTTAATCAACAATTTCTCAGCGACTGGCGATGCGTTCAGTGTATCGTGCACGATGTATTTTCCACAATGTGTGTGTGTATGTGTGCGATTAGGCTGTGGAATTGCGTCGTTTCAAAACTACCAATCCAATCACTTGAAATGATTAAAACATTCATAGTTATTAATTAACAATTACAATTTACAAAATAATATTATCTCCGCTATTAAATTGCGGATCACAAACGATAATATTATCAATTATGCTAGTTAAGTTATAATAGTAGTACGAAATAATAATAATAATAATAATAATAATAATAATGATCACATAATCCATTAACCTAATTTCTTTAAAAGATATACATATTCTTTCAATATATTCACGATTGCACAATTAAAATAGACACGAGCCTTTTGTCTGTTACGCAATGATCGCTAGCCATCGTCAGTCGATTTCAGGAAAAAGGTACGTAAAGTTAGAGTGTGAAAGAGAAGTATGCCAAGCCCGGGTGTCGGATACGTCCCGGGACGTTTTCCCTAGTGTAGGCTTTTGCGCCCGGGCGTTATGCGTGAGAATCGTGGAATGAATGTGTTGGTATGCCTGTTTTGCCATATTTTTTAAATATAGGGCTAGGTAGGATAGGTAGTATACTTCTGGTGTGCTTGTGTTAATCGTAAGTAGGTAGGGCCGGGCAGATTGTCACAGTCTTCTGGTCGGGTAGGCGCGTCTTCGCGTGACAATCTGTTTCAGGAATTTAATTTGGAAAGTCGGGAGTGGAGCTGGAACGAATGGAGCATGCCACTCGTCTCTCTGGCTTTGCTCATTCGACTTTTCGAATTTCCGCGGTCGTGGTCGCGAAGTGATTTCGAGAAAACGAACGTTGCGCTCGAGATTCTGTGCATGGTGTACGGAGAACGATCGTTGCGATCGTTCTGCGTCGTCCATCGTGCACTTAGCTTCCGCGAAAGATTTAGTTCTTTTTTTTCTTTTTTTCTTTGATTTGCGATTAGTGAATCTCGAGCCTAGATATAAGTTTCAGCGGGCATTGCGCCCGAAGGAGGAAGACCGAAGAGGCCCGACAAACTGTCACGAAGAGGGCTGCAACGAATGGCTCCTCATTTTTTGGACCTTTTTTGGGCCCAAAGAATGGGAAGTCATTGTTACTATTTTGTCACTGTGCTCGTTTTAGTAATATGTAGTAATTGTTGTTGTGCTGTCTGGCCGATTTGCATGCCGGCCCATCATCCAGATCCAGTCATCATGGGCATCGCGATTTTTTTATTAGTGTTGCGATTGATTAATAACGGGTTGAATTAGTGTTGCGTTAAAATGAGAATCGCGTTTGCATTAGTGTTGCGAATTATAAAATATCTACGGTTTTTTTTGTTTTTTTTTTAAATTTATTAATTTTTAAATTGTTGTATTTTTGTTTAATGTAGTTTTTCTTATAAAGTATCTAATAATAAAATTCATATCTTTTATAATTAAATTCATTATTTTTAATTAACTATTAAATAACTTTCTTTAGTCAGAAATAATTTCGATTGAATTGAATTTTAAAAAGTAGTGTTGCGTTGATAAATAATCGCGTTTATTCAAGTAGTGTTGCGAATATTGAATGCCCAAATTTCTTCCACTGGGATTGTGGAAGTATGTTATATGTTCCTGTTCGTTCCTGAATCATCTTGAGTGGCTAAAAAAGTTACTCGGATGATTATTGAAACACTCGGCCGATTTATATACCGGCCCATTATCTTGTCATCATGAGTAAGTTACAATTTTAAAAAATTATAATTTTATTTTTTATATACTTGTAAATTGTTGTTTCTAAAAACAATTAAAACGGATACTTTGATTTTAATTGATTTTTTATCTCAGTATTTAAAATAAATCAATTTTTTAATTTAAATCCAAATTCAAATTCTTATTTTATTTTGAATTTTAAATTGAAATTTTAATTGTTTTAAATTTTCATAGTTTTTAAATTAAAAAAAATAATAAAATAATAGAATTTCAAGTCTAAATTTAAATATTAATCCAATATAGAAGTTTGTTACAGATTTATTAACTTTCAGAAAGTATTTATATGTGTACACCTATTTTATAGCATTTTAGAAATGTACATATAAATATCATGTCAATTAATAAAGAAATGATATGAATAATAAAAAAGAGGTAAAATATTTGTTGAAAATTATATATACTTCATAGAATTTGATTAATTCTTTTGTAGTTTAATTTTGTTTCAGGAACCATTATGAGATCAATGGAAAAAAGATTAATTTTTCATATAATATCCCATCCTTTTTCCTTTATCAGGTTTAAATTTTTACATAGGTAGGACATAAATATAAGCAAATGAACTTGTTTTAGGAAGAATGAGATCAATGGAAAAAGAGTTCATATTTAGAATATCCTATTCCTTTTCCTTTGTCAAATTTAGATTCTTTAGTTAAACAGATTGTGTAAATAAATCATTAAATTGTTATATGTGTAGATAAGACTGAAAAATGGAAAATCTGTAATTTTTAATTGGTATAATATTTATAATATTGGTATATATATATTCAAGTAGAGTGTATATAGTAAAATCCTTTAAATTTTTATTGAGGAAATTTTGTATATATATTATGTAATATATTTTATGTGTGTAAATTGTTTTGCGTCTGTTTCAGGAATTTTTATAAAATCAGCGAAAAAATATAAGTATTTCAAAGTATATTAAAAATATAATCAAGGTAATATATATTCATTCCCTACAATATCCCCTCTCTTTATATTATAGATATTTATATAAATAAAATGAAAAGTAAGAGTTTTAATGAGAAGAGATTAATAGATTAAGTCAAATTTATTATTGGGGAGAATAATTATAAGTTAAATTAAGTTCATAGTTATAAGTAAAATTAAGATAAAAAATATTTTTAAGTTGCTTTGTAGTTTGGTAATGCATGTTTAAGTTGTATGTAGTTTTGTAATGCGTGTTAATTAAAAGTAGTTAGCATTTACGTAGATAAAATAGTATGCTTTATGGGATGCTTTGGCTTATGCAATTATTTTATGATTTAATTTAAATTTTATTTTCAGATTTAGCTTTTCGCGTCGGTTTTTCTTAAAAACTCCTTTTGTTATTTATTTTGCACAATGATCAAAGAATTGAACGTTTTGCAAATGTATACCAAAAGGAGAATTTATTTGAAAATAAATAAATTTTTTCGTAAAAGGAGGGTGGATGGGACGTGGCTAGGGATAGGTCTCCAATACGCAGCAACCTCCACGAGGTGAGACCTGGGCAATCATTATTATTTGATGTACAATTCATAATCGTATCACTGTATAATTATATTATTCGTTATATTATTATAAATTATATATCAAATAATATGAGCTGATTGGCTGCGAGCGTGTAATTATATAATTTTAAATTAATAGTATCTTCAATTTGTTTCTCTTGAAATATATAAATAGAAATTTTTATTTTATAGTATTTGGATAGTTTAAGATATAAATTTGTAATATTTCTATAAAATATTTGAAACAAAATTTTTATAATCTATCTTTATGCTATATTATTAAGTACGAATATTGAAAACAAGCGTTAAAGATATTTTTCAGAAACAATGAAAATACTATTAATGATTCTTTATCTACAATGCCGATAACTTATCGAAGGAGTTAATTAATAATTATTTATAACTAATAAAAATCGCTACATAAATATTTTAATATTTTTTTTTTAATTTTAATTTCATTAAAGCATTAAAATTTATTTCTAAATGATATAATTTCGTAATACAAAAAAAAAACAATAAAATTTAACATGTTTGCATTTTTATAGAAATATAACATAATTTACCGATAAGAGATAAAAAATCTGCATCTGGTTTCTCGATTTGTCTGCGAGATGGCGTTAGAGTCGAATATCGATCGTTGAAGAGAGATGCCAAAAGATAGTACATATGTGAAAAGCAAGGAAAGAAAAGATTACTCGGCTCGAGAGCCGAAGGATAGTTGTCGTGCAAGGTGACGTAGAGGGGCGCCGAATCTAAACCCGATAACGAACCAGCTGGTGGCAGTGCCGTCGTGCGACGTTTACGTGGAAGTACGGCCTCCGCGAAAATTCATTCTCTATTGGTCCACTGTCGATGATTTGTACGGAAAAATTTAAAAAACGATAGAGACAATATCGTAGAATTGGAAACTATTGATACAGTGTTCGCGAGTCTCGTTGTTGTATTGGTGATACGTCGATTTTCGTTAGGATTCCTGAACGAAACCAAGCCAAAGGAAGAGAGGAGCAGAGAATAAGAAGGAAAAAATAAAAACAGAAACATGCCGTGACCGCACCTCAGGTGACATCAAAATGTATCGTACAGTCGAAGGAAAGTCACTGTGCTTGTAGTGCGCGTATAACTTTTAATTGGACGACAAATGTCGTAGGTATTCTTATCTGTGCTTGAGTGTGCGTGTGTGAGTGAAATCGTGTGTGCCTGTGGGTGCTGCTCTTCTCGCTTGTACCTGACCTGACCCAGGTGAGCACCTGGACCAACAACGATGACTACGAGGGAGCTATACGTGAAGGTACGAACCAGTTTAGAAGACCATCACAGGTATTTACTCCAATCCAGTTCTGCAATGGCAACTAGTTTAGTAACATTGCGACTAGTTTGCCTGTTGACATTTCGAATTGCCATTTCATGAAATTTCTTTTAAAAAAGTTAAAGGAGTGAAGAGTTTCTTCCACTGAATTGCTCAAGAAATATTATTATTTTACTTTGGATTTCAAATATCGTAAGTCAAATCTTCTTTTAAAAAATGAGAATTTGTTACGTCATTGTCGAATTGTAGAAAGAAACTTTAATCTCAAATGTAGTTTGAAAATGTTCATAGTCATTACTAATATATAATTTTGTACCATTGTGCAGAGTTCATCCTGATATTCGCATATTCTTTTTGAATGAGAGAATGAGTTTGCTATCGTTAAACAAAGAAACACAGTTCTTTGTGTAAATACGTGAAGTGCAGTTTGTATAAACATATGTGAAATTCTCCCTTGGAGTTATCAAGGTTTTAAAAGAAGCAAATACTTTCTATTTTTTTTTTTTTTTTTTTTTTTCTTTTTTTTATTCAAATTACAATATCGATTCTTGTTTTCGATAAACAGCTGACACGAGTAAATTGGTCATGGTTTGTTTAGTACATAATTATAATTTCTGTTAAATTATATGAATTACGTACGTCTAAACGCAATATCGATTTTTATGTTCGGAAAACTTTAAAGCACTGTCGTTAAATTTTGAAACGAAGGATTAGATTTATTTTTGAAAATTGAACGAGACTTTCTTTTCTTTCCATCGCTGATACACAATGTAGAAAATTAATTATTTGAGAAAATTATAGGATGTAGACAATATATCGCTTCAATTAATTCAAAGACAGTATACATCATTGGTTCGAGCGAAGGTCTGTCTTTCCCAAACTATGCTTACACACTTTCACAAAAGATATTCATTTCTTTGGATTTTTACACGAGTATCTTCAAGTCTCTGACTTTCATGTTTACAAGAAAAGGTGAAAATCCTGTGCTATTTAAATCACTTGTCAGTTGTAATTCTGACTCATAACGGAAAGCAATCGAGAACAGGGGACGAACATGTTTAAAATCCAAACGAACTTTTTTTCAAAACAAAAATCAATAATGGTCGTGCGGATGGTTGGAAGCTCAAGACCTAAATTTCACTTTAAAACCAGGTGCCGCGATCACAAGTAGGTTGACGACCACGATAACAATTATTGTGTATAAATGAAGTGTTTCCTGACAATGACACTTATTGCGTCAAAGCATTCGATATCTCTAAACATGAAATACCGAAGCCTGACATTAATCTATTAAAATCACGGTTCCCTGATATCAAATCATTCGTATCAAACAAAATGTTGACGAAGTTACGAAATATAATTTCGTAATTATAACAATAACAATGTGAAAACGGAATTATTATAAAAATTGAAGATTAAGATGCATCTTAACTCGGTTGATAACTTCTTCGAAAATATTACGTGCCGTGAGAACGTTGCGTGGAAAATGCACAAGTGTAAAAGGAATATTGCGAGAATATACCTTGTCGACGAGAAAGAGAGTTTAATCCAACTCGAACCTGCCCCTTTAAGGTCGTACCGTGGCTCTCCATCTTGGCTGATTTATTGCCTTGGTCAAGTGAACTACGAGGGTTGTCCGAGGTCGTATAGCAATTTTTGTCGTTTCTCCAACGACATATTGCTTCTTTAACGACACTATTTATTAAAAGTAGAATAAACGTGGAATGGGTATTACATCTGTATAGATAGATATTTCTAA